TTTCCTTTTATGCACCTTGTGTTGTCTTTTCCCTGCCATTCTCCACTACTTAGCCCATCTCTCCAACCACTAATCAGTCACACCAGTTTCCACTCAGTATCATCCCAAGTGCACTCATCTCTCACTCTCCCTCAGCCTTATTTAAACTGCTCTTCACCACTAAAACATCCGCCCATTGCTCTGTAAACCTTCAGACATCCCGGTCCTCCTCAGTCTGCTTGTTATTGTTTGCTTAAGAATCCATTCTGTCCTGTTTCTGTTCACCTGATAATCTATTCTACCCTGTCCCTGTTCACCCCTTGCTCATGTGAGTTTTGTTGCCTTGCCAGCCTCTGTTTTGCTTGATTAATAAGTTCTTTGCCTCCTTGCAAATGAGTGTGAAAACTGAGGATCGCAATAGAAGGAGCAGACCCGACCCAGACCCTGCAGGAAGTTCGTTACTTGCGGAGCTCCATCCGGAGGACTATTTAAAGCTCCACAAGGTAACAGAAAATTATTTGGATGCGATGGCTACACCCTGTGATCCTTGGGTGAGGATGAAAGTGATTCAAAACATGGTGAGGATGTTTCTCCATTTGCCTGGACTGGCTGATTTACTGGGGATGCATGAACTGTTTGATGAAGTGTGGACAGAGAGACGTGACTTATTCTCTCTTTTCCTGCCACCTGCTGCTTTGCCCCCTGGCCTTCCCAGTCACCTCCTTGAGTCTATGAGAATGGTCCCACTTACAGACTCGCCTTCTTGTTGGTCAGAGGGTGTTGAGGATGACACCTCTGGGACGACTGTGGCTGAGTGGTTAGAGCAGTTGTCCTCCAATGCGAGAGTTGGAGGTTCGAATCCACCAGCAGTCACATGCTGAAGTGTCCCTGGGCAAGACACTGAACCCCTCGTTACCTCTGATGTGTGTCCCATCAGTGTATGAATGTGATCTAAAGCACTGATTAATCTCATTAGAATGATTTGTTCAATTAGCTTTGTAGAGATCTAGTAGAGTGCTGTATGAATGGGTAAATGAGGACACAGATTGTAGTGTATAGCTCTTTGAGTATCTTGAAATAAGATAGAAAGGCGCTATATAAGTACAGTCCATTTACCTCGCCTCCATGTTGCTCAGTGAATGTCAAGGATAGCAACCCACATTCTTGTCCTCCTCCTTGCTGCCACCAGAAGAGGGGCCGACAACAAACCCAAGCCAGGTCCACCGAACTCCAAACCCTCTCTCTACCTGAGTTGGCCATGCCGCGAGAGTCACCAGCACCCCATCAGCCGAGTCCTGCCCAATTGATTCCTGCCCAGCTGAGATCAGCTGAGCCATGCCCTGCTCAGCCATGTCAAGTTCAGCTGAGCCCTGTCCAGTTGACAAAGCAGTTGAGTCCTAGCAGCCAAATCCACCTTCCTTGGTCTCTTAAGTGGTTATTGAGTCACCAGTGGTTTCCGAGTTGCCAGTGGTTCCAGAGTCTTCATTGGTTCCAGAGTCTCCAGTGGTTCCCGAATTTCCAGGGGTTCCTAAGTCTCTAGTGGTCCCTAAGTCTCCAGTGGTCCCTGAGTCTCCAGTAGTCCCAGAGTCTTCAGAGGTCCCCGAGTCTTCAAAGGTCCCTGAGTCTTCAGAGGTCTCCAAGTCTTCAGAGGTCACTGAGTCTTCAGAGGTCCCTGAGTCTTCAGAGGGTTCTGAGTTTTCAGAGGGTTATATGCCTCCCCAGAAGTTCTCATGTCTCCAGAGGGCCTCACTTTCCCAGAGGTCCTCACATCTATGACCCTTGCAGTTCCTGAAGTGGCTATGCCCCCTGCAGTCCCTGAAATGGCTACACCCCCTGTAGTCCCTGAAGTTGCTACACCCTCTGCAGTACCTGAAGTTGCTACACCCACTGCAGTCCTTAAAGTGGCTATGCCTACTACTGCCACCAAGGTCTCCACAACAGCTGCAGCCTCCATGGTGTCAATGCATGCTGTAGTTTCCATGGTTTTAACTCCAGCTGCAGTCCCCACTGTGTCTACGCCTGCTGCTGATCTCCTGGTCCCTACGCCTACTACAGATCTCCTGGTCCCTATGCCTGCTGCAGATCTTTTTGTACCTATGCCTGCTTCAGGTCTTCTGGGCCCTATGCCCGCTGCAGATCTTCTGGTTCCTACAGCCATTGCAGATCTCCTTATCCCTATGCCTGTTGCAGATCCCCTGTTCCCTACACCCGCTGCAGATCTTTTGGTCCCTATGCCCGCTGCAGATATTATGCTCCCTATGCCTGCTGCAGATCTGCTGGTCCCTTCACCCACATCAGATATACTGGTCCCATCGACTGCGTCAGATCTGCTGGTCCCATTGCCTGAATCAGATCTACTGGTCCCATCTGCATCTACAGACCCTACATTTGACTCACCAGACCCCTCCTCTGACTTGCCAGCTGCAGACCCCTCTCCTGACTTGCCAGCTGCAGGCCCCTGTTCTGACTCACCATTTGCACACCCCTCTGCTGACTCACCAGCTGTAGAACTCTCACCATCTACTGCAGTCTCCACCTCTTGATCATCGCCGTCTGCCTCTGTAGACACCCCTATCATAATTGGTTCCACTTTAGCCGTCACACCCATCATCACTGATCCGACTCCTGCCACAACTCCCATCATCATTGCTTTGTCTTCTGCCATCACACCAATCATCTCTGCCTCCTGTACAGTTTCCTCATCTGTTGCCGCAGCCTCCCCTGTGGCCTCCGCCTGAACTCCGACCTCGCTCTGGACAATTTCTAGCTCGTCCACCTGAACTCTGGCCTCATTCTGGATGGTCTCCGGGCCGTCCACCTGAACTCTTGCCCCACTTTAAATGGTGCCTGGGGTCATTCATAAAAGCGTGTTGTGTTTTACCCAGGTCACACCCTGTAGGTTTTTTGCTTTTTGTATTTTTCCTTGATGTCCTTCATCCTAGTGTTCCCCTCCACACCCACCCCCACCCACCGTGTTTGTTTTGTTGTGTTTGGTCTTTGGGGACGTCAGGAGCCATCCCTTGATGGGGGGTGGGCACTAACATATACTGTCCTTCAGTCTGCTTTTTTTGTGTTTCTGTATCTTTATTTTCCTTTTCTACTCCTTGTGTTGTCACTCTGTTCCCTGCCATTCTTCATCCACTCCTCAGCCTGTCTCTCCAACCACTAATCAGTCACACCTGTTTCCAATCAGTATCATCCCAGGTGCACTCATCTCACTCTCCCACAGCCTTATTTAAACCTCTCCTCTTCACCACTAAGACATCTGCTTCTTGCTCTGTAAACCTACAGACATCCCGGTCCTCCTCAGTCTGCTTGTTCCTGTTCACCTAATTATCCATTCTGTCCTGTTCCTGTTCACCTGATAATCTGTTCTGCCCTGTTCCTGTTTGCCCCTTGCTCGTGTAAGTTTTGCTGCCTCATCAGCCTTTTGTTTTGCTTGTTTAATAAATTATTTTATTTACACTCCTGATCTTCTTGCCTGCAGATGGGCCTAAAAACCATGGATCACAATAATAACTCTCATTTAGAGAAAAGGTACATTATATTCTGCTAAAATGCTACTTGAAGTGTCATATCAGCTGTGACATGAATCATAAAGCACAGAGTATGAAAAGAAGGCCAGAATGGCCCCAAAAAGAAGGGGCCACTTTTTAAAACCAGTTTACTGGCTTATAGAAACAAACCTCCCAGAAAATACATATCACTGTGAAAGAGCTACATCTATCAAATATTAAACTTCTACACTTTTACATTACATCATTTGTTTCGTTTGTTGCCGTTTTCTTAACCAAACAATGTCTGTGCTAACAGACTACTAATGTATGCATTATTTTGACTGTTCCCTTTTTCAGTGGTCGCCATAGTGAACTAACGTGCAATAAGACTAAAAGGATGATTGATAAGACATGGCAATTGTTTTTACGCCGAATGTCATTCCTGATGCAACAACAGATCACCAAGCTACCACAACCCTTTATGTGGAGCAGAGCTGACTTCTAGAGTGCCCAGGGAAACAGATGGGGAGGTTAAGGGCCTTGTTCAAGGGCCCAGAGGTGGACAAATGAGGGTGGAGGCATATGTGTATGCTTCACCTGTCACCTGGGATCCGAACTGGTGACCATCCCGGTCATAGGTTCACCTTCTCTAACCTCTGTGCACTATGACTGATAGAGTGCTCTATGACAGTTAGTTCCTTATCAAGGCTGTTAAAACAACTGTTGATAACTCTTAGAAAGAACTTCACTTCAAAACTGAGCCGACTACTCCATTAAGAAACAAAAATTCACCTGTTCCCTCCTCTTCTACTGTGGCACCCACCTCCAGTTGATCATGCAATATCTTTTGGTCAATTTTGGTGAAAGCAGACATCTTGAATTCAAATGTAGCACACCCTGTTTTATCTGTCTGGAAAGTCCAAAGATATAAAGTATCAGCGAGTTATACAGTGATCCCTCACATATTCATTCAACCTTTATTTATACAGGCTAATCTCACTGAGCCACAAGGACTTATTTACAAGAAGGACCTGTTCCAGACAGCACATATAAAGTACAGACAATAATAACAGTAAACAATAACAATAAACTACAATAAAAAATGCAATTAAAATAAAAGTAGTGTTATAAAACAATAAATCAGGGTGCCATAAAACAAGGTAAAATAAAAAAATAAGAACATATTTGCTTTGATTTTTCTAATGACTTTATCAAATGTTTAAAATTCCCTAAAGAAATTAAGGTGGACAGCTTCAGTTCCTGTTGCAAGGTGATCCAGGTTGCAGGAGCAGAGTATGAAAAGGCCTTTTTGCCAAGCTCAGTCCACACTGAGGGAACGCTGCAGGTAATGATGGCATGAGAGTGCATGTTGTAACTGCACTGACGATGTGACACGTAGGAGGAGATATAAGAAGGTAGCAGACCAAGGAGTGATTTATAGATGAAAATGAAGCCTACGTGTAGACAATGATGACCAACTGACCAAGGAGTACAGAGTGCAGTGATGGGTACGGTAGTTTCAACCAGTTATGGACTGGTGTGAGTCAGCATAAGTCTGTGGAAACACACTGAAAATTTTGCAAGGAGGAAAAGGAAAATTCAGGGCACAGAAACCTGGTCAGGATGATAAGATCAGTTAGAAGCATGAGGTAATCACTGGACATTTACTTGTGTAAGCCTTTCAATAATCTGGCACTGGATAGAGAACAGGGGAGTGCTTAAATTCTATGGCCACCAGGTGAGAAGAATTATGCTGATCCAGGGCTTAATTTGAGGCAGATTGCCAGAACAAGATCCGGGAACTCTCTTATTTTGACAGGATGAGTTCCGGAAAATGGCTGCTTGGATCCAACAACTCAAATCTCCACCCCTAAAAGTCCAAAGTCATTGTGCATTTTTATTAAAAATCTCAAAACTATTATTAAACAGCACAACTAAACTACAAATCAGCTTGACAGTTTAAGTGGGTTATTAATAAAACATTTCATTATTTCTTAAAAATACAACGAGAGGAGATGTTGCCCTTGGCCCGGCGGACCCACTCTGTGGAGTGGAAGTTCCAGCCGTAGCACACATACCAGCTCAGGCATACCTTCCTACTCTGCAGAGATGCGGATGGTATGTCCTACGGGGATGAAATGTCTTCATCCAACACCTTCCGAGGTGTGTCCTGCATACAGGACATACAGGGTGAGTCCAGCGCCTTGATGGAATTACTGCCACCAAACTGTCTGTATTTTAACGCACCGCGGCCATCAGGCCGGTGCGGTGGTGGATTATTAACAATATTCAAATCAACTTTTGACTGTAAACAACTGCCCATCCCAGTAATTCCTGCGTCAACTTTGAGCTGAGCATCTTTGAACTCTAATATTCACCTCTGACGTTATGTGCACTCGTCTACCGCCCACCTCGATCTAAGGATTTCATAAATGAGTTTTCTGACTTCTTAACTGAAATCACATATGAGCATGTTTTCATTATTGGGGACTTTAATTTGCATGTGTGCTGTCCTGAGAAGCCCTTGGTTAAGGACTTTTTAGATTTGTTGGACTCATTTAATCTAACTCAGCATGTAAATGGTCCCACCCAAGAGCGCGGGCATACACTGGACCTTGTTTTAACTCATGATGCGACTGTTAATGATCTTGTTATTGGTGATAATGTTTTTTCAGACCACATGCCAGTCCACTTTGAGTTCACCGTCCCCCATCTAACTACTAAGTCGTGCATTCCTGCACGTAGCACCCGGGCAATTAACCATTTCACTGTCACACGTTTCACAGATAATTATAACTCTGAAATGATAATTCAGCCCCCGGTGTTTCTCTCCACCTCTGAGGAACTGACATCCCAGTTCAACTCTGTCTGCTTAAAGACTCTGGATGATGTTGCGCCTGTTTAAACCAAAAAATCAAAACTCAGAGCAGAACCTTGGCTGAGTGACGTCACCAAGGCCGTTAGGCAGCAGTGTAGGAGGGCGGAATGAAAGTGGAGGAAAGACAGGCTGCAGGTCTCTTTTCAAATACTTAAAGAGAGTTGGCACCGTTATCAGAAAGCAGTGAAAGCTGCTAAATCCAAATACTTCTCTGATATAATTGCCTCAAACTCTCGCAACCCACGTATCCTCTTCTCCACCCTAAACTCTGTTGTCCACCTCACTGAACCATCACCTCTGGAAGCCTCGACTGAGCTGTGCGACAACTTCCTACATTTCTTTTTGGAAAAAATTGCGACCACCAGGGCTCTCATTTCCCCTCCAACTCATGACCCATCCATCCCACTGCAATATGTAACTCAATCTGACCATTTTGAACCCATCACTCTATCTTCTCTAGAGCAGGTCATGTGCAGCTTGAAACCTTCTGGTTCCCCCTTTGATGTGACCCCCCCTCGACTACTAAAGGAGGTTTTTCCCACTCTAGGTCTGTCCATTCTTGATATAGTAAACAGTAGTTTATCCACTGGCGTGGTGCCAAAATCCTTTAAACATGCTCCTGTCCAGCCTCTCCTCAAAAAAACCAAACCTTGACCCCCCAGTCGTTTCCAACTTCCGGCCTGTCTTTAAACTCCCTTTTGTTTCTAAAGTACTGGAGAAAATAGTCGAGTCCCAGTTGAAGTGCTTCCTGGAAGGTCACACCATCTTAGAGCTATTCCAATCTGGCTTTAAACCTCTCCACAGCACTGAAACTGCCCTGCTGAAGGCCTTTAACAACATCTTCAGATCCACAGATACTGGTGATTCTGTGCTGCTTGTCCTATTGGACCTCACGGCCGCCTTCGACACCATCGACCATGAGATCCTCATTGCTAGGTTAGAGCAGTGGGTGGGCATCACAGGGTCAGCCCTCAATTGGTTCAGATCCTACCTCGCTGACATATCCTTTTGTGTCTCCATCAAGGATTTTTGTTCCGCAGAGGCAGAGCTTAAATCGGGGGTTCCGCAGGGGTCCATCCTGGGTCCCCTCCTATTCTCTTTATATCTGCTGCCGCTTGGTGCTATTTTCTGGAAACACAACATGCCCTTCCACTTCTATGCCGATGACTGTCAAATTTACTTCCCCCTAAGACACAATGGTACATGCTCGATTCAACCACTGCTCAACTGCCTGGCTGACATCAGGGACTGGATGGCTTTAAACTTCTTAAGCTTCAATGAAAAGAAGTCTGAAGTCATGTTGTTCCCTCCCAATGACACGTTCACAAACCACTGCATCGATCTCTCCGCTCTAACCCTGTCAGAAAAACAAAGAGTCACTAATCAGGGAGTGATAATGGACCCTTCCCTGAAACTTAACAATCATGTAAACATGATTGTTAAATCATGTTTCTTCCAACTGAGGCGGCTGTCTAAACTGAAACCCATATTGTCCAAAAATAACCTGGAGACAGTAATACATGCATTCATTACATCTAGGCTTGATTACTGCAATTCACTCCTGTTTGGTATCAGTCAGACCTCCTCCATTGCACGACTACAACTGGTCCAGAATGCAGCAGCCCGATTTTTAACCAGTACAGGCAAAAGAGAGCACATTACACCAGTTTTGGCCTTCCTGCACTGGTTACCAGTTCACTTT